TAGTATATTTTAATGAATATTTGCCTAATAATAGCAGGTGTTTGTCTCTATAGATATCTAAGTATAGAGGAATGCTTTCTATTTTACAAAGAAGATTCATCTTTCTCTCTGCTATGAAAATCCCTGAGCTCTGAATACAACTAGCAYAGGGGAGAGACAAAAATTTTCCATTTCTTGTTTATTAATTATGCTTTTGTAATGGCTTTTGCTGGACAAAGCTTTCACTTTCTGACAAATGAAAGACCTTTCCCTTGTTCTTGCTCATGCACAAAAGGGGTTTAATCTTCCTTGGGATGGCCATTTGGTGTTTCAATTTTGCCTTTATAATAAATTCTGAAATCATAACTGTTCTCTTGTTTCCTTTCCCGTGTTTTCAATTCTTTCTCCATGTATACTTTATATGCAAGTCAGCTTCCACTTCACAAACTCCCATACAGTACAAAACTATCACTTTTGACATGTGCCAATGTCAAATTTGTAACCTAGTATTCAATAGCTCTGCTGCTATCAATTGTTTCTCAAAGTAGGTCAGAAAAATATTTATAAAATGTAATAATGTATTAATAATGTATTACAATATATTTTGCCTAGTCTCCAGATGCCACTTTATTAAAACCATTCAGTAACACTGACAAGGTGGTAACAAGCTTCTGAGTTCATTTTTAGAAGAAAATGATTCACAAACAGGATAGTGACAGGCTTTTATGATTACAGATCTCACATGTTCTGTTCCTTCAAAAGGGCTTATATAGATTGATAGAGCTACAAAGAAAGAAATGAAAAAAATGAAAGGAAGAGATATAAATAGATTTTTTCATTAGGATGAATGATGGAAGGTATTAACCCAACTACAGCAGTGCACCTTTTACATGTCGCCTTCTTTATTCCTTTTGACCTTCTATCATCTTCCTTCTAAGTAAAAGTTAACTATAGTCTGAAATGTAAGTAAGGTGAGCAATGGCTGGAAATAAATGTTTCCTCAAGCATTATTACTGTACAGAAAAGTGTCCATCAGATGAAATGTCAGCCTCAAAATCCATTTAAGCACTGCTCAGAGGCTAAGCAGGCAATTATTATTAATTTTTAAGTCTGCCTGACAGGTTTCAGACCAAGAACTGGGGTTAACTTGATACACTGAATACTGCAGAATATATTTAATTAGAGGACAGTGACTCTCAGATGGCTGAGGATTTATTCTGTGCCAACTACTGCAACATTACTATAAAATAGAAGTACTTACCTGTGGCAGCATCTGCATCATATTAGAATGCATACAACTGATCTTTCATTGCACATTCTCCAACTTTTGTCCTAATATAATCACTGTCTACTTTTAACCTTACAGTTCTGAAGCACTACTGYATTTATCTCTCAAATAAATTGCTTATCTCTTAAATAAAGTTTACTTCATTATACTGTAAGTTAACGAGTTTTTTTTCAGAATAACTCCTGCTCTTCTCAGCTAATTACTAAACCAAATCATCTGTCCATCTTGTCTTACATGAATGTTTCTTCATTTAAACCATATCTGTGGAATTAATATAAATGATGGAACATTGTAACATACTGTAAGAGACTATTGTGGATTGCGTTTATGTAAGAGACTATTGTGGATTGCATTCTGTCTCGACATTGTTGCCCTATAGTTTTCTCCTGTCTCTGGGAAGACTGAGATATGCCAGGCGTCTTATCTTCATCCAAWTTGCAACTWCTTGGCCTTGACATCCTGTCTGTGGGAAGACTGAGATAYCAGCTCAAGGTTTGTTATCTCTACACAATTTACAACTTCATGGATTAGCCCAAGACCCCAACAATGCTCAGCGGAGCCTGACGAGCGGCGCTGGCAGTTGAGTCGGGGGAGAAGAGGAGCACCAAAAGCAAAAAACTTCAAGAAAGTGGGCGGACTCTTCAAGAACTGGGACAATAAAAGGACTACATTTTACCCCCCCCAAAAAAAAGGAGATGCGCGCTAAGAGAGAGGCTTCTTTCCCTTCTTCTCAACTCTCTTCCAAGAAAATCATCACCTGCACCGAGGCAGAGACGACGAAACATAACTCGACTAGTGGCGGTGGTAACTACTCTTGCTGCATCTCTCCTGCTTGCTTGCTTATCTTTCTTCTTTTCCTTTTTGTTTTCCTTTTCTTCTTCTTCTCTCTGTCCTATCGCTATTATGAAAATAGAGTTTATAAGGTTGTATGGCATTTGACCTCGTTTATGTCTTAATCTCGCTCTTGGGATMGTATCGAAACCTCCCCCGACAGTGGATCGGGACACATACACCAGGATACTAATGAATAAATAGGGATTAAGACAGAAATTAGCAGAAAKGGTTATGTATGTTGACTGACTTTAGAAGCTTGTATTAAAAAAAATGTACAAAATGGGAAATTATTTAACTCTCCTGGTTGTAAAAACTGCTAGATGCATCCATTCGGCTTCTTTGCCCCCCCTTTAGCATCTGCTCGCCTTTGACACATGATCCTCTGGTTAGGGAAAAAATCAATTCCCATGGGTAACTGGAAGGTGATGTGCAAAGCTATAAGCGAAAATGCTAATGGAGTCCAATCATAATGAAGACCATTCAGAGAGCATTAGACTATATTTTTCAAGATGAGTAAAATGATTTTCAGAAAAAAAAGGTAACAAAATACTTTAGTCAGGTTTGACATTAGTAGTGAAGACAAGCAGAAATTAAATGTAATTGTAAATATAATTCTGCTACAGAGAAGGAGTGCTGAGTTGATTACGGATAGTGCATCACCCTAACATCTAATGTATCTAATTKTTTAGAAAATATGTCAACAGTTCTCCATTCACTGTGAGTTAAATTTCCATTGGTATCATATGGTGTGAAACTCTCAAAGCTGGTAAGATCAGCAAGCAGTCAGAGGAAAGTGAAGAGGGCCCTGGATGTCAAAGACAGACCTTGCCTTGACACTTCTGAAGTGCACACGTAAGTGAGCAAGGCCATTAATTTAACAATAACCTTCTTGTGAGAGCTTGAGCATCTATTGCATGTGCTCTCTGCCAGATGACTGTATTTTCCAAGAATGTATTATACACTTTTGTGGGATTTTTCTATTTATTTCACACAGGCCTAGAACACTGATGTATGAAGCACAGCAGTAAGGACTAAACAAAACCAACAGGAATACAGACACACTTATATAAAAAGTAAATGGCCTGACTTCCCAGCTACAGACATACCTGTGTCTTCATGTGTAAACACATGCCCATGAAGTATTATTCTGCTAACTAAACATAGTGAAATCTCTGTCTTCCTAATGAATCTTTGAGTCTTCCTAATCACCTGATGACACCCTAGCACTCCATGAACTTTGTTAGCCATTGTGTCATTAATTAAGTTTCCAGATATCAGTGTGAAACCCTGACTCACCAGAGGCGGATGAAAAGGGTATTTGTCTCTTGATTTTACTAACAAAAGACCCTGTTATACATCTCCAACTAGATTGCTGCTGTGCTCCCATCCTGTCCTTTACTGTCACCTTGTGCCACCAGTTCCTCACTAATCAGCAATTCCTAGCTATCTAACGAAGTCATGTTTAGCTTTTTCCTCTGCCTTAGGACCTGTATTTCAGGTTGCTTTGCCAACTGTTCCTGTTTTTTAATGTATTATTTCACCAGTTTTCACCCAGGTTTCTTGAACTGTTTCTTACTACACCATGTACACAGAATACTTAGGATCCCTTCCCACTCATTATCTATTGAGCTGAACAGAATATAGTATGCAATACTATAAAATACTATGCAACAATGCAACTGCAAAAATGCAATACTATATTGCATAGTATGCAATATTATGGAAAAAAATATTTTGTTTAAGGTTCCTCATACTGCTTTCAGTCAAAAAGTCTGTTTTTCCATCAGAGGCATGAATTGAATTATACTTTCAGTAAGATTTTCAAGATATTACCAAATGCTTTTCTCAGATCAGAAGTAATTTAATTTCCTTTTTTTTTTCACTTCACCCACTAGTGCTAATTCTACAAAGAAACAAACAACTATGTTAAGTTTTATGAGTAAGTACTTATAAATAAATATTTTATTGTATATTATTTATCCTATAGCTGTAAAAAGAATTTTATTCTTGCTGTTTGTTCCATTTTTTCCCCTAAAGACAAGTATACTGCATAACTACATATATATGAGGCAGAGTAATTGACATCATCATCCATTGTCCCTTCTTTTAACAGACTTGTTTGCACATTTTCTCCTCTTCGCTCAGCCAGTATTATTCTCATGATCCTGGCTATCTGCTTACAGACAGTAAGGACAGTCTACATGTATGGGACTTCGTCAGGCAGTCATCATCATCCCTTTGCACACAGCAACCTTGTTAAACATTCACCATATTCTGGTTTTTGAAATGCTCACTTAAAGACTTTCAGTAAATACTTTTAAAATGGTGTTCACACTTTTTTTTTTTTTTTCAAAATGGCTGGAAATATATTTGGGTTATACCTATATCTATCTATCTATCTGTATCTCTATATATTTGGGTTTACTTCATAAAAGCAGTTTAAGAGGGTCAGCAGCTCACATACATATACAATCCAGTTAATTATAAGCATTGACATGACTGTCAATGAGAATGGTGCTGAACACTGTAGATGGCCAGACCTGCCATCTGCATTAACTTTCCAGTAAAATGATCATTAAAAAGAAAAGACTATCTTCACGAACTTTCATTCAAATTTAAATGTACATACGTAAATATTTATATGTATGCACTACGCTTTCGAGCAGTATTACTCTAAGCCATGCAAGTAGTTTACAGACCTGTATCAATGGATTTAATAAGCATGACCCTGACATCTGTAGTACCCAAACAAGCATGTATTTGAAAAAGAATTGTGTGCATGAATCCCACATCCTCCAATTTTTCTGATTTTGCTCTTCATCTTGGTAGCTAGTGCAAGACTAAGTCTCACCCCAGATCATGTGGCTCCAGAGATGGATAGATGTGTATCAGTACTTACAGCTGTCCTCTTCCTCCATGAAAATACTGATCACGTAGCAGGCATACACAAACCCAATGAGCTGCATGAAAGAAGAGGAAAAGCAATCATCAGGGCATTTTGAACACATATTTAACTTTTTGTACATACAATACTATATAAAAACAGGTGTCACTACTATATTTCGAAAAAAAAAAGATTTTATTTCCTGAATTTCTATACAAATTTCAGTGCATGTGATCACAAAAAGCTAAACTAAGCAGATTCTCTGCCTATGCTGCATTATATTCTAAAATCTTTTCCCCTTTTCCAGACTGAGACCATATGTAGTATTTTGAATAATACTATTTAAAGACATTGGGATCTAGATGTTCAGCTATTACTCACATTCCTTTGTTTGTTTGACAACTCACATGATTTTATCCAAAYTAACTCTAGCTTCCTAAGCACTTAATTTGCATGTTAAAAATGAAAACCTTTACTAAGGAATTAAGCCATAGTCAAGTTACTGCAGAATTCACAGGAGTGGCCATTTGTRTTATCTGAAGAGTTTCTGTGAAAAACTGCATGGCAAAATTAATATATTGTGTGAAATATCATGATGCTGCTAAACTGTAAAACATGTAAAGCAGGAAAAATCTTCTCAGTAAGGCCTGTCAGTAAACCACATTGGCTATGAAAGAAATGAGCAGCCTCATTCCCCAAAGGACAAAACCAAAAAAACCATACCAGTGTTTTAACAGTGGCTCCAGGAAGAAGTTCCTTCACAACCAGTTTTTGTGTGGCTTGTGCTATAGAGAGGAAGGGATTAAGATTCTCTGGAAAAAGGAATAGGAATTTTGCTTATTCCTTTTTCATGTAGATAAAATGTTTCCTTCTGACTGTCACCAAGAAGGAGAAAATTCCATGAGGCAAGGAAAACCTATTAAACTGTACTTCCAAAACATAGTCATGCTTGAGAAAATACTGTTTGTGCAGCTGTGCTCAGTCCAGGCTATCTGAAAGCCTTGAAAAGATTGCTCATGAAAGATTTCTAAAATAACCCAGAGATTATTATTATTTTTTAATCCTTGTGGTGAGGTCCATTCAAAAAATCTAATTAAAATAGTTCTTTTAAGAGTGTCACGGATCAKCCATCTGAGAAAGAGGTGATTTAATAGTATCTAGACAGGTGTAAGCTCCTTTGGGGGTGCTGAGATCATTCCAGCCTTTCTTGTTGGGCTTCACCAGGAGCTTTGCAGGCAGTTCCAAGAGCCTTTCTACAGACAAAAACCTTGTCTACACCAGGAAATTCAGCGGAGTTAAGATGAATTAACTAAAGCTGTAAAAATCAATGCACGTAAGATAAAGTATATTAAATCCCTGTGTGTGCTTTCCCATTCAAAAATAAAGTGGCCTTAGTTCATGGTAGCTTAATCCTCCTCCAAGGGATTAATCTTCCCCAGGGAGAATGAAGCTGCAGTACACTAAAGCCAAGTTCCTTGTAAACAAGAGCTGTCATGCTGCGGTGGCACCATCCTGCCACGGAGTCCTCTCGGGATACCCCGCTCACTGGTGCTTTCCAAAAGAGCGTGTGTGAGTTTAATCCAATTTTAATCTGCTGAGCTGAGCTGGCTGCAGCATTGACAGTTTCACCGTGTAACTTCACTGTATGGCTACTCTGAGGTAGCTAAGTGCCAAGCAGCTCCCAGACAGTCACAGAATAACCCCAGTTAGGACAGAGTCGTGCCTGGGTTAATAACTCCTGCTAAGCAGAGCTTGCTGGCACCGCACAGGGTCGTGGCAATGGCAGCTATGGGGTACACATGAGATGTGCCACGCTATGCCACATGATGAATAAAGTTTACAATCGAGATGTTAGTTGAAGATTTATAAGCACAGCAAAATACTTTTTTGGGTCAGAGTTTTGTGGGTTTGACACTGACTTTCATGGGAACACACACGGAGTATAACTTCAATTATATGGTTTCCATTCATTGAGGAGCTGTGCAATGCTCACAGTTAGTGAAGGTGKTGTTTGATTCCACCAGACCATAGCCTCCCAGGATAGAAAGAGGTTTCCACTCTAATATGTAATAATCTACTTGGCACGATGAAGAAGGCAACTGGAAAAAACTAAAAGAGTAAAACTTCTCTCCAAGAAAGTATGGAGCTCGCAAGTCTGTGKTTTTTTTTAGCAGTCATAACAGCTTACACTTCGCTCTTGCCATAGATCTTCACCCTAAAGTAAATCTTTTCCCACTCATTTTAGTGTTTGACACATACTTTGTTGCAGTATCTTTACCTAATCTCTTTCTTCTTTCTTCAAAACCAGCAGCCTCTCTCTGCTTCTCAGTATTTTTTTATAATTCTCAGCATTAGCAGGTAAACATTCCTCARTCAATCAGGTTGAAATCACAGCTAYGTGTCATGTTTATGGCATATCTTTATTTAAAATATACCATTTCTCCCCTGACTGATTATTTATTAAAGGCTGCAGAAATGAAAACATATATTCGCTCAGTCTCAATTATGTAGTCTTTGGTAGGCAAAGGGAAGATCAGATATCTAATCATGCTGGAAAGCTTCATAACTCCCCATCCCCCATGAATATCCTTCTGTGATTAAATGACAGAATGCATATTTTTAAAACAATAAAGCAASAAAGAGAAAAAGAATCCTTGAACATCTATTGTCGGGTGTAATGGACAGTAATGTTTAGCTTGTAACTAACACGCTAGCAATTACAGTTGGGCAACTGATAACTACAGCACAATTAAGATGAAGTGATAAAGTGGGAATACACCCTGCTGCAGACTGGACTTGTCTCCAGATCTTTAAACAGAGTTACATCCACCACAGTGTGAACAATTTTATAAATGAATTAATTAAAATTTCTTCCTTTGCTTTATTGATGGACATACTAATAAAATATTTATTCCAACAAATTACTTTTGCTATCTTGATTAACCCAGCTGCTGTTTAATTAATAACGTTATGCTCTTGTGAACCCATCCAGCCATCATGTTAATTGCCAATTTGTAGTGAGCTGGCTGGTGTGTGCTGCCTGGTTTCTCAATATTGGAAATGTTGGCTATYGGCCTGGCACCAAGCGATAGACTTAAATCTGTTGTTCCCTGATAACTAAAGAAAACATGAGCTAAATGACCTAGAAGATATTTATTTTTCTCATCCTTGTTTTCAATAAGCATTCAGAGGGACAACCAAGCTGCTTGAACGGGATGTCTGGAGCATTTAAATTCTCTAGCATCTAATGGAGCAAGTGAGAATCTTCAGCTCGGTTTGGAGAAGAATCCACATGCTAAAGTGGACGTATCTYGGCAATGCTCAGCTTGAAGACATAAAAGCCTTCTGGAATCCACCCCCGCCCATGGGGTTGCCTTTCTCATCTGCAGAGCTCATTCTAGCCAGCTTTCTCAGAAGACACCTTTGGAAGAAACTGAGCTGGGAAGATGCTGGTGTCCCTGATTTTGTCCAGCTGTACAGTGGCACAGTACATCCTGCTCTAGATACACTATCTATCCACCTCTGGGGTGAATAAATAACATATAAAATAATCAAATATTTTCCACAACAAGAGCTGTGTTCCCCTCACACAGGGGGATTAATCTTTCAAGTTGGGTCAAAGTAAAGCAGGCCTAGCCAAGAAAATGGGATAAACTTCAGACGCATCAGACACTGGCCACGGCTGGATACAGGACACTGATTAGTCCTGGAGAACCACCAATGTTTTGGTACCAAAAATCTTGTTTTTTACATGACTAGCTGATAAAYATTGCTCACATTCCCCAAATCATACTGATTAGCAGGCTCAGGGTTTGAGAAACTATCATCACCTTAGATGTGGACTGTGCAAGAGATTTCTTATTAGTGAAATATTGGTACATTTATATGAGGTTATTATCAAGACTTACTGCATAATCTATTTTCTGCTGATAGCCTTAGGTAGAGGTGAAATTTTAGGCTCTTCTATTAGATTCCTATGTAGACAGAATAGTCTCTAGAGGACTTAAATGCTTTAGTCTAAGTAAAATCTCCAGGCTTAAGATACGGACATCTGCATGAAATATAAATGCCTAGTTTAATAGAAGTGAAATTAGATTATATAATTGACCATCATTAAATGGTTAGAAACTATGAAAAGTTGTAAGAAATTAAAATAACTAATCATCCGAGCAAATATATGCACTGCTGTATTATTGCTTTATAAATGAATATCACTATAATCTATCCTATTAAAAGAGAACCGATCTGAGTTGGCTATATATATATACTTGCAAATTAATGTATTTTATTTGGTACCAGATAACACAGATCAATCTTTTCTTAGGAAAATGAGGAAAAATATTAAATAAATTTAAAATGATTATTTAAATCAAGGTTCTTGTCTGCAGATTGATTTTTTTTATTTGAATTGATGATATAAATCATTTTGATTTAATTCAGTCTATTTGACTTTATCACCATCAGTTCTTATAATATATATGATTGCTCTCCTATTTGTTTTATGCATCGCAATACATTCAGCTGGTTAAAGGAGATATATCACTGCGTATGGGGTATATAAAATTAAACGAAACTGTGTCCTAAGCTGTTGGATTAATCTTTGAGATCAGGTGTACAATAGGACACTTCTGTTCCCATAAAACTACCTTGAAGAGTTGTGTAGGCATCATTTCAAGAACATAGTACTGTCCAAATAAAGGGAAAAAAGTCTCAGCAAGCAATAAGGCTGTCAGAGCAAATATACAATGTTATAGTAAAATTAGATTTGCAAGATATCTCAGATGCAAAATATCTGACTGACTATGCTACATGTTCTTCTATAGCTCCAGTCCATCCAATTTGCAATCACATTGAATATGGATTTTCCTGGACTTCCTTATAATGGATAACTGCTGAAGAATATTTATTTCTCATCTGTAGCTGTAATATATGAGAAATATAACCTGTAAAACACAGTTTTTTTTTCTGTAAAATCTTTTAACTATTGTCAATTTCCCTGCAAAGTTTAAGAAAGCAAGAAAAAAAGAAGAAACTTCTAAAATAAGATGGTTATATGTAAAACAAAAGGTGTAGATA